GTTTAAAAGTTTTTTGCCGTTTACATGGAATCGTCGCGAAAACCATGCATGGTATTAAAAGGTATTGTTTTGCAAAAAAATGTTGTATCGATGGTGAAGAAAATTAGAAAAATTAGAAAAAATTGCACAGTGTCGTTAAAAGATGTTAGTGTTGAAACTGAACGAAAATGCGAATACGAATGCGAATGCGAATGCGATATAGGAATGCTAATGCGTATGCGAATACGAATATGAATGAGTACACGGCTGTTCGATATCTATCGTTGCTCGTAGATTGCATCTTGCGATAAACGTTTGTATGCGCCGCGACCCTCAGACTATGTCTTGCAAACTTGGCTGTCCACGCCGGAAATACCTACTATGTACTTAGGTACACCATTGGGATTGAATGGAGCCGTTGTTTCGACAGCGTTTGTTCCTTACTGCACGGCACGGCCAGACTCGTCGAAAGAGTTGGTTGCGAAAGGAATAACTTCCTATCGATCCTATTCACTACATATTTTCTCTTACTCGACGGGGACCGATAAACTTTCATTCTTTTATTCGTAAATTAAAGCCTGTAAATAAGTAACTTGGTTACAACGTTGTAACCACCGATGTAGGTACTTACTCGCGTCACCCATCCCGATCACTGCTTATTTTTTAACTCTGCTGGCTTTCATTCAAGCCGAAGGTGGTCGTTTCGAGTATACGTATATTATACAGTTCACATAGGACGGATGTTTATAGAAATTGTTGTACAGAAAGTACAAGAGAATACGTGTATGGGTTCATATGCACGTGGTTGCCGGCGACAAGTTGACCAGCGATCAGGATCAAGTCAGTCTCGGCGCTGCGCTGCGCCGCGCCGCGCCGCGCCGCGCCGCGTCGCCCGGCGTTCGACGTTCGGCGCCCGGCGCCGCGGTGCGCTGCGCCGGCGACCAGATGCGTACGAATCCATATTGTATTCTCTTGTAGCTTGTACCTTAGTCGCGTCGTCGGCGACTGGTCGGCAGCGTGACTTGCCCGACATTGCATAACGGGTCTTAACAGTGCCACCGATTCCTAACGCAACCACTCTTACCACGCACAATTGCAAACAAAAAAAGATAAAAATATACCATCTTATACTTTGCGATTATAGTTTGCGATTATCGATGCTGTTTTTCTATGCTCTGTAGAAATTTGTGCGTAGAGGAACCAAGAATATTTAAGTAAATTTCTTCTTATAATCTTCTTATAATATACATATAATCTGTACGTCTGTAGAGTTTTAGCCGCGTTCGTGGAGCATGCACATTTTCTGATACGTCCATGGACAAAACTATATGTTTCTCTTCGGAATGCGAGGAAGAATGGGAACGGAAGTTGGATTGCTGTACGTATACATACATATACATATGTAGTATATACGATGTGAAAAGGTCTCGTTCTTTTGTATTTAATAGGAACAAAGGGTACTACTTGAATCTAGTCCTATGAAACGAACACGAGGTTGATTAAACATTTAACACAAGCAAGATATTGGCTAGTATAATATATTAGTATTATTTTTCATCTCTCGAGATGCATATTATTCAACAGGATAATGTTTAAAAAAGTAATGGTAATGGTAAGATAGAGTAGCTACGCTCGTGCACACAGAAAGAGAAAGACACGGGTCAGAGTTGGTGGTTTCCTTTCATACTGTATAATAACGCGCGAACCAACTATCATATATGTATGCAAGTACGTACATAGATACGTAAGCATTAAACGGAAAACGACTACACCTACGTATCGGTTGACCGTTGTTGTCTTTCTTTGTCGAATGCGAATAAGTGGAAACGTTTATTGTGTCGGTAGTTTGTACGAAGAAATCCGTTGGTATAGAGCAACATCATTGCGTCGTGGTCGTGGTCGTGGTCGTCTTCGTTTTCGTCATCCTCCATTGGGATTAAAAGCTATAACGCCTTTGTCTTTTCTCTCTGTTCGGTCTAGATCCGTCTCATTCTATGCACCCCTCGGTCTCTTAACTCGTCTAACCCTCGGGCTCCCATTTTCTTCCTCTCTTTTCCTCTAAAAGCCATGCGAAGTAACCCTGGCACAGCCCAGCGGTGTACTATGCCGTCCAGCTAATCGATACGCGGTGGATGGAGCGAACGAGGGACCCGAATGGGCTCCCGGATAGCTGAGGGTTCAAAGTAAACGATGGATAGGTGTTATTTGGCAGAGGAGAGAATCGAAGAAAAGAGAAACGCCGGATTGGTACCCAAGCAACTCGAATCTGTCCAACCAATTCAACACACATTCTCCTCGACTCGTATTATCTTCCGATAGTCTACGGAAAAATTAGCCGACGAATCTTAATCGATTCCATTTCAAGCGGTTTACAATTTATCATTTTTCATTCTCATATTTCTGTAATATTCGGTTCGCGATGCGGTTCGCGATGCGGTTCGCGATGCGGTTCTCTCTGCTTCCAACTAAATACGTACATGGATTACAATGCCAGAGAATAATCCTTGTACATACTTTTCTTTTTACTTTTACGTCTGATGTATTTCCTCTCACTATTTTTCACTTACGATCTTTCTTTCCTCTTTCCTCTTTCCTCTTTCTTTTTCTTCTTTTTTCTACTTTTTTTATTCTCAACGAGGTTATTTCGGTACAAGTTGGTCGTGGAACGGCGTGCCCGTTGCACAAAGGCTTATTCATAGTAGTCGGCCATAACTGCCGTTTGAGTCTACCGCCATTGCTATCGCCATCTTTACCGACAAGTCGATCACAGTACGAACGACAAGTATTAACAGAGTAGCGAAGATGAACGGTAAATATGTACCGCGTAACAAGAACGCGATAACTAGAAACGTGTGTGAAACGTAAACACGTCTAGTTTTCGGAAGGTGTTTCGGAACGTGTATGTAGTTGTACCGAAACACGCGATTAAATCGCACGATCTTTATCTGTTGCGCGCCAATACTTCTTCTTCACGAAAAAAGGGAAAAATCTAATCGGATAGATAGAAGAACCATGAACCATGAACCATGAACCATGAAAATGCGATGAAAAAGGAGACATACGCGCATACATACGTATAGGGAAGAGGACGTAACGCGGCTCGTCGCGTCCTATGGAAATAATGCAAATAATTCAACCTCGGTCGAGTAAAACGTAGTTTTTCTTAACAAACTACAAAGACGATAAGTGGAAAAAGGAAAATATTAATTATAAAATACGATTTAAATATCAGGTATACGAGATTGTTAATTTCGAGAAAATACGAGTAGGATAAAAAAGGTGAGGAAAGCATGATGATCGTCGAGAAACGTCGCGGCAAACGATAGGCTTGTCGGGAAATCGACTACCGTTTCGGTCGACATTTCCATTTTTTCACCAATTACCAAACGAATAATCGTCGGAGATGATTTTATTGAACAGTGTGTTTATAGGAATGCGTGTACATGTGATAAGCCAGATAGAGAGAGGTATAGATATTGGGTTAATACGCACGATGGCAAGGTATACATACATATATCCGCATCGCGTCGCGCAACACAGCACCATGTTGGCCGAGCATACGCTCCACGTAGATACAGCTCCGTATCGATTTCTATTCTCCTTCGCTTCCCCCTTCTCGTCTCACTCTTCCTCACACATACCATAGGCATAGGTGTGTATGGGTGTATAGGTAGGTGTAGTCGCGCGCGAGCGCGAGCGCGAGCGCGTATATCGCAGGGATAGGCGGCAAAATTCGGACCAATGCTCTTTCCGTCCGTTTCATTCATTTCATTCTCTTACAGTACCTACATTCTTTTTTCCTCTTCGATCTTCCTCCCAGCATATTTCTCTTTTCCTTAACGATTTTTCATATATCTGCAATATTCCATCGCGACATAACCATTTCCTCGACTATTGGTTCTTGGGCTCGTGCGGCCGTCGTCGACACGACCGACAGCTTTGCAATTAAAAAACCCGCTGGCCGAATTTCAAAGGCGTGCGATACGCGTATATCGGTGTAACGGCTACCAACGCAAACTAAAAACTCTTATTCTTCGTGAAAGTTTTACAAGTGGGTCGGTGAAGCTTTCCTGATAAAAGCGACTCCATGTAATACTTACAACTATATCGGAACAATAAACTGCTATATCGAAACAGAAATCGCGATCGCGAGTATACGGAGCGTTTGTTCGGCCAACCCTGGGAAACATTTTAATGGGAGATTCTAGAGAGGGAAATTAGACGAAAATGAAGAATATCAATTTCTTGACCGTGGCTTCGTTAAACAGTTATTAAAAAATATCAAATCATTCGGGAAAAAATTGTGTTTGGTCGCGAAGATCAATTAGAATCATTTTTGGTGAATACACATACCCCCGAAATGAGAAAAAATATTCAGTACGGGCGGAACTTTAAACGTGAAATCTGGCGGTCCTGATCCCGATTGGGACTACCACTGGGGAAGGATCAGAGATCGGTATTAAGTAAACGTTATAATAATATATACATTATATGATTAAATATCTGAATAATAAAATAACTTTTGATCGCGACGTTCTATTAAAATCGCACATTATGTAAAATTTGTGAAAAGGCATACCGTGTTAAAAATTCGAATCGAACCGATCGATTCGTTAAGATGATGCGTAGGTAGGTGTGCTTAACGTTGAAGAGAGTTCGCATCTCTCTGTTCTCGGTGTGCTACTCCAGCGGGAATATCGATCGGCCCTAAACAAACTCGGCTCCGTTTGCCCGAACGTGGTTTACTCGTTTCCCATTTTGTACGAATGAAAAGTAGTTCGACTTGCGGTATGGATAGAATGCGTGCATACCGTCCGTATCGTAGAGCGAATCTATCTACGTATACCAGAGTCGGTTCGTTAAATCGTGGATTCGAGTTTTTAGTCGATCGGCGAATCGTCAGTTACACGCTCGGCACTTGTGGTGTTTATTTCGCGAAACATCGTGCCCGGATCGAAGGATTCAAGCAGTGAAATAGAGTAACAGATAAATAAAGTAATAGGTTGGGTTGGTTAGCTTACCTGCAACAGTGAGGGTAGCGTTTCGACTCGGAACGGAGCCAGCTTGATTCCTCGCAACGCACCAATAAACTCCGCCATCTTGCTCCTTTTTTCCGTGCATCACCCGTAAGAAGAAAAGAGAGCCCGTAGGAAGAAGAACACGACGGGATTTGAGATCTGCCGGTGACGTTTGAACCAGTTCGCCGTCCTTGTACCATTCGATCACTGGTTGGGGTTTACCTTCCGCCTTGCAATTCAACGTTACCGGTTCGTGCTTCGCCACAATTATATCCGACGGATGTTCCGTTATGCGCGGTGATCTCAATTGCCCTGAAAAAATAATTCCAAGCGATTCGTATCTCGAGTATGATCATAGCCATTGTGGGAAGATATGTAGTAGCTGCGCTACGGGCTCCTCCGATACGATTTTACTTTACGTCTCTATCTTTAAATTTCTCTTTATTTTAATTTCATTTCCGTTTCGTACTTAACCTTTTGCGCGCGACTTTGTTTGCGAATATGTACTAGGTATACATATACACCTCCTACATGTTCTATGCCACGATTCTACGTTGTACCATATAGCCATTTTTAGATGTTTGAGTACGCGGCGGCGACGAAGATAGACGCGCCGGCGACATAAACAGCTTCAGTGTTCGCGCTCGGACGCCAAGGTATTTCAACTATTCCGATATAGCTATGGGGATTGTGGAATGGGTATAGGTATAGGTGGTACGACCGATAAACCACGATTGTCTACGATCGCTTCGCGCAGTCTGCAAATCCCATTCGGACTCGGACGTCCGAAGCAAAAGCACTCGAGAAATGTTTCGCGTCTGTAAGAACGTAGATATAGCTACTCGGCATTCCGAACGGTGCGTGCGCATATATGTAGAGTATTTCCAACGAATATTCTATACTTTCGTAGGTAAATCGATCGACGAAACTTGCTCGAGAATCCGAGGATAGAGAGAGAGAGAGAGAGAGAGAGAGAGAGAGAGAGAGAGAGAGAGAGAGCGAGCATGTGTTTCGTTCAATGGAGAGAGTTCGTTCTGTCTCTCTATTTAATGTTTTAGGCATCCTCTAAAATACATATCTCCCATGATCTTTCGTTGAGAGAGATGGAGAAAACTGAACGCGCACACGTATCCATACAGTTTTCTTTTGTGCTCCCGACTCAGCGCTCAGAAACAATAGACGCTGTGGCTAAATTAAAATCGCCTCCGGAGTTTTCATATTTCGCTGTTGAACAGACTCGGCAAGCTCGGACGAACGCGCTGTTCTTGCGCTCCGTAGGCCCGAGGCATCCTCGTTTCATTTCAGTCCTAACCTCCTCCGAATCAAGCTATCTCGGCAACCAGCTTTCCCAACTCGCCTTGTCACTCTCGTTCCTTTTGTATTCCATCATATTCACTGCTTGTACCGTTTCTTCGCTCAGTGATTCTTGTATTTTGGCCTCCTTCGTTCGCTCATTAAACTTCTTCTTCTTCCTTACAATTCTGTTCCACTTTCTATTAAACGGCGCTATTCCGGTTTCATCGAACGTGTCCGGAACAGAAATATTTGAAATAAAACAAACCTTTCTTTATCCCATTTAATAAATATTATTTTTCACGGGCAAACGAGAATGCTTAACGCGTTTAAAGTCGAGCAGAGCAGTGTATCTTTGTTGCAGCCTGAAGCCTTGTGGTCACAGTGAAAGCGTCACAGTCGAGCGTACTTACTGGCTATCGCTTACAGTTTAACCGCGGCCCTAAGTTCCGTCAGCCACGTCTACGTTGAAAAGCCAAAGAGCGCGCGGCCTCTTAACTTTACCGCTCTCGGTTCCTCATTGTCACACTTTGCGCCAAACAATTACATATACGCTATATATTCGATTCGATAAGTCTTACAACGTATTTCGAATTTTCCTCTAAAATAAAAATAAATAGCTATACCGCTACACGCGTCGTACAGTGTGTTTTGCGATAATCGTAGTGTTTTGTAGATTGTTTGCATGCTGCCGTAGACGAGATACCGTCTGAGATCATACATACTTGATTTTTCGATCGTTAATTTCAAAACAGCGAATAGAAGATAAAGATAATACAGCGAGATTAAAGAAGCGTAGAAAGCTCGAATGCACGATGACTTGGCATACGGCTTCGCGATTGCGACGCGAGTATTGATTTGCCGCTGTTGCTTCGACTCTGTTGGTTGGTTCTGCTGGTTCCGCTGCCCTTAGTGGCTGGCTCTACCAGTTCTGCCGTTTTCTCCTTCCTCTTCTTTTCTATTTTCTTTCCCTTTGCTTGAATCTCTTATCCTTGGTTTCTTTGCTTTCTTTTACTATCCTTTAAACTTGTCTACTGTTCTTTCCTCGCTGCTTCCCAAATGTATTCTCTTCTTTCTTTCTTCTCTACCGCACGCACGTTATTCCCATGCATTTTCCCTATATTCGTCTTAGCCCGGACGATACTACCTACTCCTCGATAACGATCCAACAATAATAGATCCGACCTAAGGAATAATTAACGTCGATAGAAATACCACGTGTACGATTTCCTTGGACGAGTTCTCGATTCTCCTTTACGAAAGTTCGAAACGACAAAGCACGGAATATGGAAACGAGAGACGGAATATACACAAGTACACGTATATTTAAACAGTTTAAGAATGTGTACGAAGGTCGAAGGAACCAGAAACGAATGGAAAGAACAGCGCGAAGGAGAACCGAGTACAGTTCCAAGAGTACATACATATTACGAACTACCAAACTGCATTTGGCGAGTTTCCAAAAGCATACCACAGCAAACCGTCGCGAGAATCGTCCTATTCTAAAACCATTATCGTGCCGTGGACTATCATTTTCACTCTCTGACTCTGAAAATGTGGTTTCTTCGTCACTATTTATAATCGATTAGCACGCAATACAACCGTCCATAACTAACGCAACTGTTTCGCGCAAATATTCCGAGCCGACTACGGTTTGAAAAATCAACCAAGGATCACGCGGATCGTGTCTCGATCTGCTACCGTTCGATCTTTCTAGCTACGGAAACGATCATGGTATCTTTCGATCTTTACGTTATAATATGTATACTCTTGTCATTGTTTCTTTACATGTATACTAACACCAAGTGTATGCGTAGACAAACGTGCTTACGAGTTCCTTCCGCAAACTATACGTTGCATATGCAACACAAGTAATTGACAACTGGATGAAGGGAGACGGGAGACGGGGGACGGGGGACAGGGGACAGGGGAAAGGGAGAAGGAAGGGGGATGGAGAGAGTGAGAAAGAAACGGTGGAAGAAAGAAGGGGAAATGGGAGGGACCACGGAGAAAGGAACAGTTTCATTACATTCTATCCCTAAGAAGGATATTCCTGTAAGAGGGGAAGGTAGAAGACGAAACGGGAATAACCATTGAATTCCTTGAGACGTAGGGGAAACATAAGACGCACAGAACCCTCGAATAGGGTTCGACCGACACACCCTGCTAGTTCTTTCCCAGCAGGACTGTCCAAACTCGTATACAGTAAAAATAAAATAAAAACGATCGCAACGTATCGAGGGCAGCTTTCCGTAAATCGGAAAAAATCGATCATTTATTTCTATTTCTGCTTCGACTAATTTTTTCCTTTACTTTTATTTCTCCTCTTTATTTGTCTCGGGCTATAGACTTGACCAAAAATAGCTATACCTAACGGAGGAATCCTTACTTAGCGTGCTCTCTCTCTCTCTCTCTCTCTCTCTCTCTCTCTCTCTCTCTCTCTCTCTCACTCTCCCTCCCTCCCTCCCTCATCCCCCTTCTTTCGCTCACTCTCTCTCTCTCTCTCTCTCCCGAGCTCAGGAGAAATTGTCTTGCGAACGGAGGCTATCGATCGTCCAGTTTCACCCCTGCGAGTGCCGCGCACAGCACTGCACGATGTCGGTATGGTACGATACCATACGCCACAACGTGGCATCCTAGTCGAATTTTCTGACAAAGAAGGAGAAAGATGATCGCCGACAGATGTGGAATTTAAAAACATTTTACGATCTTTCTTTTGTTCGTTTGTAACTTCTTTTCTCCTCGATGAAAGATACTATCGCTTTAACCGTTAAAACATTTGTACAAAGAGTCGATCAACAATAAAAAAAAGCATCCTCGATACTGAAATAAATCTCCGATATACCGATATTTGCGTTTCGTAATGAACTGTGAGAAACCTGCTAATAAATTGATAGAATATTAATACGATCGACGTTAGAACCGAGTCCAATTTACCAAAAATGGAAATGTACAAATAATCTGTAACGAATTTGAAACAAAGCTAGGTATTTACTACTTGTTTTATTCTTTCAATATATGATTCTTTAATTCGTTGATTCTACTAACGAAAAGTGTGTAGAATTTTTTTTATTTTTCTATTTCTTTACATAGAAATATAGATCCAATGTTTATCCCACGATATGGTAGAATCTATTCATTCGAGTTTCAATGAAAGTGTTTCCTTGTTGGTGGTTGATCGAATATTATTGCAGAGTTTCGTAAAAAAATTTCATCGAAACAGTACAACGAAAGAGAGTTTAGTGCATTTTACTCGTATTGTTTGTAATCGAACGAGGCTTTTTTAAATAAATTTAACTCGAAGCATTCTAGAAGCACATACACAGACATGCCCGCTTCATTGCACAGCATCGCATATAACCTAATAGTTTCGTTTAACGTCGGCCAAACTCGGTTATCTTCGCAAGACTTTCCATCCACGAAAATAGACCAACCAATGTCTAACGGCCGTTTGTGCTTTTTCCCCAAGGGACAACCAACTCGAAGTTTCTCCCGAGAGGACCGAATGTTTACGATTTTCAATTTTATGCAACCTAACATTCATAACGATCATGTTCTCTTGCATCTTCCGTTTACTAAGATGGCCTCCAAGTTACAGCAATGGTAGTATTTAAACGGATTACTAATATTTTTTATAATTTTCTATCACGCGTAGTAACTACACCTTCAATTACATATCACACTGTACAAACGGACAAATCTCAGTTATCTTAGCGCTATACATATTACTTGCTAACGCGAGCGCATGTGTATCTACGTATTCTTTTTCTCGCAGAAATACACACGCACACATTTCTTTTAACATCAAGACGCATATATTGTTTTTCTGATATTAAAAAGTGTACAACAATGTACGGAAGCATCTTTAACTCCCGTTTCAATAACATACATACATATTCAAAATTTCAATGACTAGAGCGAATACTTAATAAGGTAAAGTGCACTAATGGATGTTTTGTAGACGTTTATCGCGTGCTTGTTCGATTTAAAGATAGAAAAAATAAGATGTATCGGTTATTCTATTTGACGTATTACAAGTATGTACCTATGCATTACAAGGTTTGCATTCGCTGAAAGACATCAACATAACGTATACATCCACCGACGTTTCTTTCTTTCTTCGTTTTTTTTTGTTGAACATTTTTATCCCGAATGACGAGGAATCGTTGACTCCAGGCGGTTCGATTAGTTTCTTTTCGTTAAACTTGTCGCTAATGATCCCGCCGCTGTCGATGTTAAATGGAGACAGAAAAAAAAGAAGAAATGTTAAGTACTTGATGATGGTATCGTTCTATTTTCAATGAAAATAATGCGGTAAATTGACACATTCTCGTACTTTTCAAGTTATAGAAGAATAAACGACGATATCCTTTGAATCGTCGCAAGCTAACACAGCCTTGTTTCTTCTCTGTTTATTGTAGAGAGACCAGGGAATTAAACGTCGAGGAACCAATTTTCACAACCGTGTACATTCGTGTAAACGTAAGTATGTAATATTTAACTGTTTCTTAGACAACGTGTCACTTTTTAAGCGAACAACGTCGATAAATAACAAGTTTGGTTGTTATTGCTGTTAATCGCTGTTGTCCTGACTGTACATATACGATTTTTGTCTTCAAGTCCGTACCAACGAGTTCAGCTCGCGAACGGAAGATTCATTGTTACGATAGTTGGAACCGTACGCGTCAGTTTATTCGTTGTCGCTTATATCCGTTCGTGGGACTCGTTTACGGTAAACCTCGAACGTATCGATTAATCGGGGGGAAAAAATACCCTATTGCGGCTGTTCCATAAAAGATAAAAATAAAATATTGCAAGACGACTGTCGGTAAAACCGACAATGGCCAATGTCGCTAATCGATGTCGCTATCATCCAGTTATTAAAAAGCAAATGAAACGTAATCGCCGGTTTCTTTGTCGCTTTATGTCAGTCAGCTGTCTATAGCGATTAGGGTAGAGAGAACAGAGGAAGGAGAGAATAAAGATGATGGAAGAACGGGGAAAGAAAGAAAGAAAGAAAGAAAGAAAGAGCAGAATCGTCGATGGAAGGAGGGAAGGAAGGTTGAAAGTTTCGATGTTAGTCGAAACGTGGTAAGGAGCGTTAGGAAATGAAAGGCAGAGAGAGAGAGTGAGAGAGTGTGAGAGAGAGAGAGAGAGAGAGAGAGAGAGAGAGAGAGAGAGAGAGAGAGAGAGAGAGCGTGTACTTACCATGAACCATAAGGGCGAAAACTGCTATCGCGATCAAGTTTCTTAGCCACTCGTTGCGCATTTTTCTTTCCGCTATCCAAAGATTCCGGGATGTCGTGAATCACGAACGAGACCCTTTTCGATTATTTGTAATTGGATGTTATCGCATGTTGTCGAAGATTGATGGAAAGTTGCTCGGCCAAGACCAAATAAGGGTTAACGGAATGAAAGAAAGCACGCACGTCGAGGATGCCGGTGGTGAGGTTAAACCGGTAAGAGCGAGCACTCGCGAGAGGATTCTCCTTTCGAGTTTGGAGCACAGCAGAGTAGCTTTCCAGGCGAGAGGCGTATCTTTCGGGGTGACACTCGCGAGCGCCTCATTTCCATGCCATTACACGTTACCACAAACTACACGTACGTATGTACAAGACACGCGCACCCATACCTACATCATACCGAATACATAGCCACCCACGCGCACGCACCACCTACATGCCACCGTGTGTACGTAGAATAGGTACGCGTGTATGCGTACACGTTTCACTATGTATTCGCGTATATTCTCGCGTAAAGTAATGTAGCGTCAATGCACTGGCTGTCGGCCAATCACCACCAATCCCATTCTTATCGGACAAAACTGACGACGAGCGCTTTTGTAAGACGAACTTCTGACATCGCCGAGCCCTGGCCGCGCGCACGCACGCACGCACGCAGGCATCCACGCACACGCACCGCGCACCAACACCCGCCTCTACGTATTCGAAATAACGTTTATACGCGCGTGTAGAAAAGTACGCGCACGACCAGAACACGCATACATGCACGTAGGCACATATCGATAGGAGGAAGAAGACGGCGGGCGGAGATCAGCACCAACGCACCGAACGACGTCCTGCTTCTAGCAGCATACTTTCATCCTCTTTACCAACGAACACTGGCTATTCTAATTTTTTCATCGATCCAAGCCGCGCGTCCTCATTGCCACCGACAAACGTAACTACGACCACTGCTGACTCGAGGCGGTTAATACGTTTTGCAATCTACGCCTGTATCTGTCGGTCTCGTTTTCTTTCTTATACCGTCGAGTCAGTAATCGGGCCATCGGTTCTTCCGTTTCTTCGTACAACAGCATTTCTTCGAAAATCGATCGCTTGCTGACCGATCGTTACGATACGAGTCGCTTCTCGGTTTATCCAACGAAAGCTATTCCTACTTGTCCTTGTAATTGCCATTTTTTTCTATCAACCAACACACTTTTATTATCGTAAATAATAGGAGGATCGTGAGTGCGTGCCTGCCTGCCTGCCTGCCTGCCTGCTTGCCTGCCTGCGTGCCTCTGCAATCGAATATAAATGAAATTTTAACCAAACGACCGTTCCACCATCGTCAAGTCCGACCAACGCGACGGTCAAGTCACGACTGTGGGTGCAGCTATTCTTTTCGAACACCACGCGGCCCTTCGGTTACGTTCGAGTATCCTCGTTCGTTCTCGGCTTTGCTTCGGCTACGCTTCGGCTACGCTTCGGCTACGCTTCGGCTACGCTTCGACTTTGCTTCGGCTACGCTTCAACTTCGGTTCGGCTTTCGGCGGCCCAAGTCGAGTCGGACTCGGCCTCGGCCTCGGTCTCGGTCTCGGTCTCGGTCTCGGTCTCACAATGAACTTCTAAAAAATGACGAGCATTTTATTCCAAATCCATTGGTATGAGATTTTTTAAAATCGCCTTCTACAGTTTTGCAGATTTTGATGATTTACATCTTGCGCGCACATCCATTATGGTAGTAGCCGTTCTAACTTTGATTTAGTGGGAGCCTACAGTGCTCGCGCTGTCAAGTGGTTTCTAATTAAAAGAGACGATTACGTAGAGAAATAGAGAAATAATGAAAAGCGAACGCGAGCTTTTCGATACGAAAGGTATCTCGATGTAGCAGCCAATTTAAAAGAGAATGTACAAGACAACAATAATAGGGTAGGGAAACGGGAGGGAAAATACGTATGAAGGGAATAAAGAGAAGATACACAGCCATGTCCACTCCTGATACCGGAAATGGATCGACTGGTCAAATAATCGTCAACTTCCTTTCGTAAATAACCGGAAAGACTAGAGAAGTACATACATACATAGTAGGCGGTGAAATAATTTGTTTCTATCGATATAAAAGTGGTACGATTTATCTAGAAAACTAGCTAAACAGAAACTAAGTGGCGGGTTGTTTGTTTTTCTTAAATCGTACCGCATCCAGTAAAAAATCCAATTTTTCTTAAGATCGCAATCAGAGTTGTGGAAAGAAAAAGAAAAACGTAATGAAATTTGTTCGAATCGCTTTTGTTAAAAATGATTGATCGTATAAAAGTAGATAAATGGAGTATCGGCAATTTTATTATTATTGGCTGTATGTACATAATTAATCGTGGAAGAAAAGAGGATCGAGCGAGGATCGGATTGCTTCTAGATCGGGATTGAAACCCGGATCTTCCCGCTTACTGGACGATTGCTTTATTCATTAAGTAATCCAGGTCATCGACGATTCCTTCCCTCTGTTAGCCTCGTAATGCACAATATGGCTGCTCTTTGAACGCGTGCTCGAGAAAATAGTTTTTGTGGTTGTTGTACCGATCTCGTGATCCGTTGGCGATCGGGGCCCTGGCCGATACTATAGTAGGTATGTATACCGTATGTATACCCCTGGTCCCGATCGTATTTTGGTTTTCCTTCGCGCCGGGTGCAAAACTAACGAACAATAAGTAATATAAAAATGAACCGATCGAAGGTATTTGTGAAAAATTGGTAGTAAACTATTTACAGGCTCGAATTGCTGCTAATCCGTGTGCTTTGGAACAGCTGCTGTTTACACTGTAACGTCTTCTTAGTGGATTGTCCATTATTTCGTACACAAATGAACATATTTTAACCTAATTTCGTATTGTTTCGCATAGAATAACAACAGTTTGCTTTAGCGATAGAATCAGAGTTGGAAAAATTTTATTTACTACACGTGAAGCGTCGTATCGTTACATGTTAAAGTGAAAAGTTTTAGTGCCGCCCATTCGAGTATTCGTCGATGCTGGTAACTCATTTTCAAAATCGCACGATCGTTTAGCGTGCGAGAAATAACGATAAAGGTCTAATAGTATTTGACGACGCGTTCTGTTGAAAAATTCGCCGATGATTTCGTGGACGTGTTTGGTATCGGGCCGTTTCCATAGTATATGTCTGGAAAAAGTTACTAAACGATACCTCGATAGCTCGATAGCTCGATAGCTCGATAGCTCGATAGCTCGATAGCTCGATAGCTCGATAGCTCGATAGCTCGATAGCATCGATGTTAAGACAAGACATTGGTAGATAAGCGGTGATGGATGCCACAGAATAGCTCAGAATGTATAAATTGAACGTTGCAAGTAATAGAAACGTTACGTTTTCACGTAAGTACCTTATACGTATGTACATATGTACGTAGGTGGACGTATGGACGTACAAGTATGTATGTTATAGGATATGTTCGTTTCTCGGTGAATTATTATTTGAAATATAAAATAAAAATTGATAAGATAAAAAGTAACTTACCTAAGTAAAATTGAAATGAAACCTTTGATTTCCGGATGGTTTTTCAAATAAATTTCATTCTCGTCTCTGTCGATGGTTTTTCTTCGATTTAGCTTTCTTATCTGACGCTTATTTAAAGCGCCGATATCGTAATTTCGCATACCATGAGCCGGATCCTTGGGATGGAAATCACGGTAAACTTTCGGAAATTGATCCATCCAAGTGTATCCGCTGTCGAATCGAACAACATAACCGGATATTATGAAGAGGCGCGTGAACGCGCAAACGTAGTTGCAATCACGATTACTACGATTGAAAATGTTCCGTGAACCGACAAAGAGAATCGTCGGGAGAAAATACGTTGTATTTCAGTGTTGTAAAGAAAAATGTTTTCGTATCGCGCGTTAAATGTTTTCAATCGCCAAGCAACTAAATAAACAATATCGTTGCTCGGTGCGATTTACGTTCGGAATATTGTACCGGAACACCTACATACTAAGTATCCCAATTAGTGGCATAATACATATAGATATAGAAATGAAAAAAGATTGGATGCAAGACGAAGGAACATGGAATAACGTTTAAAAGGCGTGGAATAGATTAACGGTGCTCTAGTATTGCAACTAGAAGCAAAGAATCGTCACGTCGAGCGAGACCTTGGAAGAAAGTTAGCGATTAGGACGTAGAGGAGCATAGAAAGGATAGAGTAAGAGGTAGAGGAAATTGGTTTGTAAAATAAAGATGTTTCAAGTGTTCCAGCTTGTATAGAGGATGCAAAGTATGTAAGTACTAGGTATGTTAAATAAACCGAAAGCGGCTAGTTGGTGTAATCGTACCGGGACACATTAGGAATAAAGTTGTATCGTGGTATCGAAGAATTTAGGACATTTCGCGATAGTCGTATTAATTATCATGTAGCGATACCAAGCCGTATAGGTAAATACGCGCGCGTACAGGCATAGGTAGAGGTCCGCGCTGCAACTATAGAGGTATCCGAAGTACGATGTTTCCAAGTAGCCGATGCTCTTTATATCGAAGGTGTAAAATCCCTACTCCCGTGCGTAACCGAGGATTAGTTTAGCGGTCTTGAATAACCCGTCGGCGATCGAAGGAACGCGTTACTTAAAACCGTCTAAATCCACGCGCATCAGGTTGTTCACCCATACCAGATTAAATCCATGGTAGAGACGATAAAATTACGCAAATTGAGCGCTCGAGTCCACTCTGTTCCTTGAAGTACTCCTACAATTACATGACCCACATGAACGACACGTACGGATAATATACCGCCAACGCGATCCATGTCAACCATGATCACCGCTTACCGTTCAACGCCTAGATTTCGTTACTCAATGTCGCAACGATACCAAATACTAGCTTACATTAGTATCAACTAACTCGCAATCCTGCTCGTATAAAATAATACCCGACGCGTATTAGATTTCTTCTAGGATGTCTTACCGTAATTGGGACAGGAGAATCCGATACTCGATCGTACCGCATATTTTTATACCTTATCGAGCGAATTTCGATTTATCATCGATCTCGTTCGGAAAAATTCCAACACGGTGAATCGCGATCGAATCGTGTAGGTGCGTGCCAATGTCATTCGATTTAAATTTCACATAATAATAATAATAATAATAATAAACGGTACGTCTCTATACGTAGACTAACCTTTGACATTTTCCTCTGAAAATGGTAAAAAAGTTTAGGTATCGCGGTATTTAGGTGTAGGTTAATCTTATCCCAGTAATCTTGGGTTTTGACAAACGTACCTACATACGTCGTATTCTCCGTTGGAATAAAAAGTTTGTCGAAAGAAACGTGTTTGTTGGGAACAAAGGCAAAGGCAGGATCAATTACATTCACCTATACAACGAGAATGTGCAAATACATGAGACAGTATGTAAGTTGGATACACAGTGGGGCGTACGTATCCCCGAAGAAAAGTCGAGGGCGGAGTCAAGTTGGGCCAACTGGTATAAAATCCACGGTAACGGAAACCGACGACACGCAGTTGTTAGAGAAACATCGGAACGTTATCAACATATCGATCAAGATGATGGATTACAAAGTAATTGTTGACCTTTGTCCCTTTTTCTATCATCTCTATGGGAGAGAGAGAAAAAAAAAAAAAAAAAATTGTCGATACAAGTACGACGAGGTTGCTATTAATTAACGTAACGTAATAATATTGGTTTGTTTAAATGTATGCAGATTATTGGTTATTTGGCCACTTTGGTAAGTGTCGCCCAGGCAGGAATACTTGGGCCAGGCGCAGGATTAATCGCTGCTCATGGCGGAGCCGCAGTGGCAGCGGCAATTCCAGCTCCAGCCGCCGTCGTCAGGACTGAAAATTACGATCCGAATCCTCAATACAGTTTTAGTTACAGCGTCGCCGATGGTCTTACAGGTACGTAGGTTGACCGAATACATAATTGGTTTGTGGAGGGTCGGTGGTATAAGAACGGCGAATGAATCGGCGATCTTTTCTCGTAACTTTGAAGGTGATAACAAGGCCCAAGAGGAAACTCGTAACGGTGACGTGGTTCAGGGTAGTTACAGTTTAATCGAGCCAGATGGTTCGCGTCGAGTGGTCTCGTACGCTGCCGACCCCATCAACGGTTTCAACGCTGTCGTTCAAAAAGACCCCAGCATCACGGTGAAGACCGCAACAGCCGTGCGACCGGTACTCGCACGACCAACCTCGGTAATCGCTGCAGCCGCGCCTTCCGCCGCTGCCGCCACTGTAGCCGTTCGTCCCCAGGTCTGTTCTCTGATCTTCTTTACCAGTCGGAGCTACCAGTATGCCCTGCTCTCGATCCGCGAGCACTCGTCGTTTCTAATAACGTATCGATAACCGTTTGATTGTTGCACAGGCCGCACTGCTCGGTTCACCTCTATTGAGACAACCGTTGCTGGCAGCAGCAGCAGCAGCAGCAGCAGCTCCGGCGGTGGCCACCACGAACCTAGTCACAGCGAATACAGGATTAGTAGGTCTCGGTCTGGGACTCGGGCTGAGGCAAGGCTCCCTGTACGGTACGCAGGCTCTGCTCACAAGTCCTTACGGCGCCGGAGGCATCGTCAAAGTGCACTAGACGACCGATCCTAGTGCGACGCGACGCGACGCGACGCGACTCGGCTTGATTCCATTTCACTCGTTTTACTCGTTTTACTCGTTTTACTCGTTTTACTCGTTTTACTCGTTTTACTCGTTTTACTCGTTTTATTCGGATCCCATTCTCTTTATCTCCATTTTCCTCTGCTTTTATTCGCGCTTTTCCTAACCCAGACCCTGAAACGCGCGACCAGAAACTTACCATCGCCGCCACCGCCGCCCCCTCCGACTATTTTCATCGATACCGTTGCGTAAGTCCGCATCTATCCTCTTTTACAACCCCTTCTTTATTATCATCGATTATTCCATCCGACTGTTATCGCCGTTTCGTTACCAATCCTGCCCACCGATATACTCCCGGCGTGGGTATCTTGTTCCGCTTCCGTTCCAAAAAATATTTCTTTCTTTGCCCCGAAACTATTAGTGTCGACGTTCCGATGCTTCGCAGTAAAGACAGAATAACGAGCAAGCTTCGAAAACATTTAAAGAAAGAAACCCGATTACCACCGGAACGACGCGACGCGACGCGACGCGACGTTCCTATCTTTCGCTCGACCGTCTTTTCTATCCGTTTTCTACTTGAGAATTTTATTTTATTTCGAAACGTAATCGCAATTTAAACGCCACTCGGACGAAGCATCGCAACGACGCTCGCATCTTTACTTGATTCGCTTAAAGAGCAAACTTAACAATATTGCGGACAACTATACGTATATTTATAGGCAATATAGTGTGTACTCGTGCATTTTACAATAGACGATAAGCCTCCTCGGCGAAGAAACAGAGTTAAACCGACACACGATCCTCTATCGATCACCGCTTTACTTACTCGCACTTGTCCGTCATTCGTTGGAAAGTTCCAAAGATGGAAAGTGTACTTACACGAGATACGAGCGAGCGACGAGACGTAAGTATGTATGTAAGTACATATGTACGCGTTTCTACCGAAGATACATTTTTTTAAACGAGTACCATTACTGGATAAAAAATAAATCTATTATTTAGCAAACATCCCCGACAGAGTCGTTTAATATTTGCATCAACCTTGGATCAAAAAGAAAAGAAAATACTTGAACGCTTAGGTTGGCTTACGTCGATTTAACGAGAACAAGAAAATGGACACGGTCCTCGACAACGTTCGTGTTACAGAACCGAGTGAAATCCTAAATGCAACAACGTATCGTCTCGTTCGAGCTGGACTAACAATATTTTTCCCTTCGCTTCGCAAAATTGTACATTGTATACTCGAAAACCATGGATACGCAGCAGCAGTTTCCAATTCGACAACGGCGCTTTGGAAACACTGCGGTCAGGATTGAAATATTTTTACCGCGCATTCGAGAAGGAATTCCCTTAGTAAATTAACGCATCACGCTACAAAGGTGTCTCTACTAAAAATGGCACGGTTAAAACGAACGCGTATCAACGAGCAAAAATAAAATGAACCTTTTAAAGGAACGGTAGGCAATTATTTTCAATAAAACCACCCAATCGAGTTTCTCTATCTTAGACTCGTATCTGAAATTATGTTGTACAAATTTATTCCCTCCCTCTCACTCTGTTACACGTTCCTTGTTGTTTGGCGTAATGTGGGTGTGGGTCCGGGTCCGGGTCCGGTAAAGTATTACTACGTCACTTGAAAACATTTTATTATTTTTTTTCTTTTTACCCTATAACATTTAGTTAATATGTTTCTACTACTTGAACGTTCTAACAACGTAATGCACTTTTACAACCAAGAGAGACTGCAAAACTTGAAACGTTATTAACCAGCAACACTATTTTTATTACCGTTACTGAAATAATTGTTGTAACCAACTACATATGTACTTCCAGTCGCCAACACGACTTTTTAATGTTAAAAGTATGAATGTGGATAATTTATATTAACTACACGTAGAAGGTAAGTACACTTTGTCTTTATTTTATGTAGCTGGATGCACTTTTTCTTAATGCAAATTGTAGGGAGCATGAGTAACTCCCTAGTTACTCCCGCAGATGGCGCGATTGGCGCCGATGCCAACCGTTCAGAGAGGCCGGGATGCTATAGGGAATTTGTCCCTAGGTACTCCCTGGGGCCTCGAGAGACAAGAGAGAATCAGGAGGAGGTATTCCCCGAGCAAGCCTGACAGACAGTCCAATAAAGCACTCGTCCGCTAAACCACGTGTAATTATTGTGAGCAACCCTGTGTCCATATACGTAGGCCAGCGCCTACAACTTCCAATGCGTTATTAATATTGTAGGGGACACTAGAGACATTTCCCTAGCGCCTAGGGAAAGTCACTAGATGGAGTTGGCGTGGCAGCCGTGTAGAGCGCCACGCTACGACAGTCGGAATAAAGCTCTGACAATGAGACAAGGAACACGTGTCGTACTGATATTCCCGTTATCCCTACGCATCCCTATAATATTGTAGGGAGCATGAGTAACTCCCTAGTTACTCCCGCAGATGGCGCGATTGGCGCCGATGCCAACCGTTCAGAGAGGCCGGGATGCTATAGGGAATTTGTTCCCTAGGTACTCCCTGGGGCCTCGAGAGACAAGAGAGAATCAGGAGGTGTTCCCCGAGCAAGCCTGAGAGACGGTCCAATAATATTATGTGTTTTGATGTATTCATGTATCACTGTTACGTTAATGATTTCAGTTAGTGCATCATTAAAGAATACACGGTCAAATTGTCAGTGACCGTCAGTGGACAATGTCGACCGGCTCCACTAATTCCGTGCGTTCCAGACGCGTCGCAGTTATAGGATTATTGTGTGAAAATTCTGTTAAAACTTGATAACACACTACCAGCGGACACTGTAGCCGGCCATCGTGACCGATTTTCGAAACAATTCTATGAAGCGAAGAAGTTGTACAACACCGTAAAACAAAGACAGTATTTTAAGCATGTTATAACGACGCCTGCGTTACCCGAGGTAAGATTTTTCGAATTAAATTTATTTTTAAACAGAATTTAGTGATTTCTTAAAACAATGATAATCTTTATAACGTTCATCCTGATGCTATAGTATCCGGTAGGATTAGCATACGTAGGATACGAAGGAATGGTTTCTACCATAAAATGCTCATAAAAGCTGAAGAATCCACCAAACTTTTTGATACAATCCGAGTTACGAACGTACGCGACGCCGAGGGTGGTATCGCCACCAGAAGAATCTTTAGATACCGGTACGGTCGTGGATAGTCTCATCGATACTTACGAGTTCATTACCAGGCGATCAATTAGATTCTATGCGAAACGGTTCAATCTCTCCGGATGCATTAGCGGAAAGGTAAACTGAAATAAAGTGCGAATAGAAAGTGTTAATACAATCTCCTTGCATGGAGCCATACTCTCCATTTTCCTCGAGTTTAAAGAAGAACAGGGTCAAAATAGACCCTTAGAGCAGGGTCAAAATAGACCCGTAGAACAGGGTCAAAATGGACCCACAGAACAGGGTCAAAATGGACCCACATAGCGGGGTCAAAATGGACCCACATAGCGGGGTCAAAATAGACCCTTAGAACAGGGTCAAAATAGACCCGAGACTAAATAACTACTTCCTGATTTCTTATCTAAAATAGTCACTCACTTTTGGATATCGTTTTTTGACCGTAAAATATAAAAGTGCTTACTTATGCTAGTTCGTAAGAAGCATTTCCGACGCGGATATCATTGTACTTTTTCAGTGTCACGCTCTATGACGTCGCTTCTCGTCTCGAGATATCTGGATGTTATATATCGATAAGAGTGCATAACGAGTCAGTTTAATCAGGAAGGTAGGAATATTGTAATTTTCATAGTTTTTAATATCATAAGAAAATATTGATGCTCGTTACGTGTATCCTCTTATGTAACAGAAAGCCAAAGTGGAGAAGCAAATTGGGTTATTAAAAATGTGAGAAGAAAAATCGGAACGTCGAACCGTTTTTAGCGGAACGCCGACTGGACGAGTTAATAGAAGGTGAAGATATAACTGAACAGGAAGCTCGAAAAGCTATCGAAGGACAAGAGGATATGGACGATATAAAAGAAGAAGTAAATACCACGAAAGGTGAAAATTTGGTTAATACCTTTCTTTTACTAGATTTACGGTTATATTTTATTTTTATTTCGTTCCGGTAAAAGTGTAATATTTTAGGCGTTGATTGGCAAAAATGATTTTACAACTTGTAAAAAAACGGCTTTAGGGTCAAAACAGACCCACAGGAAAGGGTCAAAATAGACCCGTGGAACCGGGTCAAAATGGACCCACAGAGCAGGGTCAAAATAGACCCGTAGAAAAGGGTCAAAATAGACCCGAGACTAAATAACTACTTCCTGATTTCTTATCTATTTTTATTTCGTTCCGGTAAAAGTGTAATGTTTTAGGCGTTGATTGGCAAAAATGATTTTCTAACTTGTAAAAAAACGGCTTTAGAAGGCGATCTACATGATTTATTAGCCGAGAAAGAAGAATTAGATTTAAAGATGGGGAAATTGGAAGTTGAAGGTGAACGGTGCCGTAATGAAACGAATATGCATGCCGATACCATGTTGTATGAATTATTGCGTAAGTATTTAAATTTATTCGATAATAAAATGGTGAATGGTTTATGTTGATATCTCTGATAGAAAGGTGTATTTTTATTTCAGTAAATTGCATCTCCGAAACAGAAGATATTATCGAATATTCATTAAACGGTATCGATAATCCAGCGATGTCAGACCTAACTTGTACTCCTCAATACTCATTAAAAGTGCAATACACGTTGCATATGTTTTGGGTCTTTATTTAATACATGGAAAATCTACATGAAACACATCTATTGATATTGCATCGGGCGATAGTAAGTTACGAAAGTTAAAAAATGTAGAAGAAAAAAAATGAAGAAAGTCATATATATTATTTTGAATTTTATCGTGTTGTAGAATCGACCGACGAATGTAAACAGTTGGGAGTTGGAAGTTTGGTAGAGGCAGAATTGTTAAGTATGGATAAAGCAATAGAAGAAGCTGGTAATCGAATACAGGTAATCGCATATTACATTTTAGTGTAATATAGAAATTGTTTTTATACATGGTTATGACATATTTTATGATCAGGAGATGCTGGAGAAATCTCGCGCTGGTGATTCCGGGTTAAAATTAGAAGTGAACGGAAAAATGTTAGATTCATGTACAGAATTAATGGAAGAAGGAAAGGTACGTCGCTTATTTTGACCGTTAATATTTAATTTATGAATATTAACTATGGTAAGACATTTTGAACCGTAGGGCACAGCCTCTGGAACCGAATTCTAGAAACGTAACCATCAATGGTCCGAAGGGGTCATATCAGCAGCGAAGGCGGTTGCATTTGGTGGTAATCTTTTATTGTAAGTGTAGACGATTTATTTCGGTTTTTTTTTGTTATTAAACCGTAAAATTTGTTTACGCGTGTAGAGAAGCAGAGTAAAAGCAATAACTTGGCTGCACTCTCAGAGGCATCGAGAGACGTAACACAAGCAACTGGAAGTGTTGTTGCAATTGCTAAAAACTGTGGCCATCTTGTGGAAGAGAATGGTAATTGTAGTTACTACTCGTTATACACTATTTGGATAAGGATGATAAAGAAAATAAGCGTTAAAGTTGTTAAGTATTAGAAAGAGTGAATATTTTGAACGATTTACAGATGGAGGCACAAGTTGATGTTTTGGAATCGGAAGAAGCTTTGGAGACTGAAAGATTACGTTTAGCTGCTTTACGCCGCTATCATTATCAACTGGAAGGTGAAGAAGAATGATCGGTACGTATTACCGAAGAATATTAAATAATACACTTTTTGGTTTTTAAATAATTCGTTTTAAATTGACAATCAAAACAAATCACAAATGTTTCATCGACATGAAGCAGTATCGAAGAAAATGTTTAGAAATGGAAAGTAAAGAGATTCCATTATAAAATAATATATTACGAGAACAGATTTATTTAGGTTGTCCAAAATGAATTATTGTAATCGAATGGCTACAGAAAAGTTACCGTTGAAAATGTAACTGTACCTTTTCTTTAAATGGAAACCTAGAAATGTAGTTTCTTATGTTGTACATAAAAGTACCAACATACTTATGCCCTGAACTTATTCGTTAGGAAGTTATCGAAGATAAATGAACTTGTAAAGTTGCAGTAAGAACGTATGGTTGAGTTATTAGAAAAGTAATGAAATAATGTGGTTTTTCATAAATTAGAATATACATTTGTCCTTTGTTTAAAGTGTATCCTCATCTGGGAAAAGTAGTTGTTATGTAATCGACCTATCATTTATTTGCTGAAATCGAGAGACAAGTGAGGAAAAAATGAGATCTTTAAACGTTGAAATTCGCAAGTTGCACCTTTTTTTTGTTTTTTATTATCATAGTCATATCAGTATTGTGTAGTAAAGTAGCGATACATGCATATGTATCGGAAGTTATGAGACGATTTAATTAGTACATATATGTGGCGTCACCTCACCTCCCATGCTCGCCACCAGAGG